TGAGCTTAAAGAAAAAATATGAGTTCCTTGAAGAATTGAATTTGATAATTTATCTTAAATTTTAATTCGAGTTTTTAATATTTTTGGCCCACGTCCATGCCGCTTGAAATGTATATGTTTATAACTATATCGCCGTAAGTAGAAAATGAAATGCGCCCGCTCCAACGGCAGCCAATTTCTTGTCCCGCCTCACTTCCTCCCATTCCCCTACACACTCCCTCAGCCATTCATCAAACGTAGCCAGCGGCACTCTGCGTGCCAAGTTTTTGCTTCGCACAGCCAGCGCACAGCACAGCACAAAAATTAAATTATTTTAGTTCATAATTTTAAATTATAAAATTTGAAGCTTGACTCAGAAAGTTTGCCACGCAGCCCAGCCAGCCAGCCATCAGATGATGATGGCGCCCCATTTACAAGGTTTCCATGTCACAGGCCCCAGGCCACGTTTTTAGTGTAAATACAATTTAAAATTTCGAAAATATTTAGAAAATTAACGCAAAGTTGTGGAAATTTTTGCGTCCGCTTGTTTGGGCGCTCTTGCATTTTCGTTTATTTCAGCATTGTACAAAATATTATGCAAATTTTGTAACTCTGGGGAATGCCGCACCTTGTTGTTGTTGATTGTGTCCAAATGAATGTTTAAAATTTGATGCATTTTGTTAAATTTGAAATGAAAAATTGAATGACTGCTATGAATGGAATGTACATGAATTACAGCATTGCTATCGAAGTTAATTAAGCGAAATGTTTATGGTAATTAAGGCGGGATAGTAATTTACATTTATTTTTGCATTTCTTTGGAAATTAAGGAATGTTGGAATAATTAAACAAACCCAATCAAAATCATATGTTGAGTTTTGGGGTCAATTGAGATTTGAACTTGAAATTATTTATTCGCTTTTTGGGGAAGTCATTGCACGGGAATATTCATCATATTTATCTTAAAATAAACAAAAATAATCTAGTAACTTTCTAAAACTTACTATGAACGGCCATTCTTTTTCACAATATAAGTGAAAAACACATTTTTGAATTCATGTATGCATCTAAAAATTCATTTAGTTCCACTTAGTTTAAATTAAAACTTGAAAATTTTATAACTTATTACGGAAACGAAAATTTAAGGAAAATGAGATCAAAATGGATTACAAAAGTTCGTTAATTGTTCATCTGTTTAGTTCTACATTAACAAGAATCTCAAATAATCTCAAGTCAATAACAAAAATTTATCAGTTTCGAATTATACACTACAAACAAATTTTAGAAGCTTGGTTCATAGCAGTTTTATAATTTTTAATGTTAATGCAAAATTTTCATAAAGTATTTTTTACATTTATTCAGGAAAGCTTTAAAATTTCGACTACATGGATCTCGTATACCTTCTTTCAGACTTACTTTGGCACAAGCACAAGGATCAACAAAACAGAAAGAAACACTAACTACACTTGCTAAATAATTTTGATAAAATATTGAAATGATATGAATTAATAATATTTTAAATGAAGATAGTATAATGTCGCCACTTTGACAAAGTCAAACGAAATAATACTAAAAGCCAAACATTTTATTAAAGTATGCATAGATCCAATCCGCATTTTGAATAAATTTTTGAGCGCTCTCCTAGAGGACCGGCAATTCCAACTAAATTTATTGTGATCTTCCCCCCAAAACCTCTTACATTGTTGTTGTTTAAACGACATGTTTTTAAATTAAATTACCAGCAGAGAACAAATTTTCTGGTACCTACGATGATGGTGACCCAACAACATGCCAAATTCTTGGCCAACCATGTAACGGGCGCCTGACCTGAGCAAACGAAATGTGCTGCTTGTTTATTGGTTTAACACAAATGTCCTTTTTGGACGACATGACGACATGATGGCAGGGGGCTAACGAGGTCTTCAAGAAAACAGGAAGTTTGATTTGCTAATGAACTGAAATACAAAAGGGATATATCAAAGTCATTTGTGGTGGTGGTCGAGTATTGTATGCTGAATATATTGGCCAGAAAATTACATTTGATTTGTGGCTGGTGTTGTTGTAAAATCCTTATTGTTTGTTGTTGCCTTGTCGTGTGCAAGTTTTGCATGCCAGGCACGTTTGCGTGCCAAAGGGCATCAAACATGGGCGATCAAGGTGCTTGCGGCTCCTTTTTGACTTTTGTTTGTTTATTGTCAGCTCTCGTGCCGACATGGTCCGTGTCGAAGCTTTCTTCCTTTGGGCTGCCGGCCTTTTGGCAGTTAGTGGCAGCTTTTTTCTGGCATTTCTGTGCGACTTGTTGCATACATAAGTCAAGTGTCAACAGTTTAAAATGATAGAGCAAGGCACTTAACGCCTGAGGCCGTTTGACGTTTAAATTAAATTTTGGGGCAATTGCCTTTAAGTGTCTTGCTGTAATAATGATATCTTCATAATCATCATCAACACTTTATATCTTACCGGCTTGGCTCACAGTTTGCCAATTTCATTTGCATGCCAAGGCAATAATTTTTTGCCCCGCTCGTAAGTGTAGAAAATATTTACTCAGCCGTTTGACGCAATAATAAGCAATTTTGTTTATAGTCGGAAACGGAGGAAGCTGCTCATCTGCCCTTTGTAGCCAACACTTGAATGCTCTTTATTAGATTGCACAACCAAGTTGGCAAAAATTTATTGCACTTTTTTTTTTGTTCACATCCCCTCTCCATCGTCTACATTCATGGTGCTGGGGCTAACCTTCAGCCGTTAGCATTAGAAGTAAGTCCACCTACTCCTGTGTCCTGCCCTCTGTCTGCTTTTGTTTTTGAAGTAGGCAAGAGCCAAACCGAAAAGAGAAAAAAATGAGAAAGAAATAACATGGGGAACTTAAGTAAACATTAATTTACATAACTTCTGTGCAAATGACGACAACGGACGATGTTGGAGAGCTCTGTACGAGGCGGGCGGGGGTTGGGGGCAGGGCTGACGTAGACCAACACGTCGACGGCAACGCCTTGCACGAAAGCCAAGCGCTTTCGAGGTTTTTTTTGTGTTCCGCCACGCCAACGCTCGTGTCGCTCGGCGTTATTAAAAAATTTAAAGCATGTTTTGCGGCGCTGCCGAGAACGATAAGAATAAGGATGGGGATGTGGATGTGGATGGCGACAACCACAACGACTATGGCACTGCCAATATGGCTGTGCTTAGTTGCCTATGTGTGTGTGTGTATGAGTGTGTGTGTGTGTTTGTGATCGACGGCGCACATAAGTAACTTTTTTTCATATCCTTGTAGCAACCGGCGATTGTTAGAAAAGTGCCAACGTCTGTTTTCAATGTTGCAAAAGTTTTTTTTTTTCGCTTGCATTGGCGTTGTAGCCATTTGGCCCAAAGTAAGAGGGAATTCGATTTGTGCTCAGCTAGAGAGACTGAACTGATACGCTACTACCAATATTTGCTGAGCATGTAAGCAGCTTTTCAACTTTAGACAGAATTTTGGTAAAAAAAAAATGAAAAATAGTTCCACAGTATTTGCTTTTTACATTAAATATAATATCTCCTCAGCTTGTGATTAATTCAATTTTTAATTACGACTCAGAAATATTACAAGATAATAATTGTAATATGATGATTATTCAGTGTTGGAAGGACCTTACGCTTCTACTCGGACAAGTAGCTTTGAAAATATAAATTCTTAAATTTTATCATATCCACCAGAAATGAGTTTTAGATTACACTTTTAATAAGTGAGCCATTGAACCGAAAGAAATTTATTTTTATTATTTTTTCTCTTTATTTAAGATCCGTCCTAGGTGGAACTAATATTATTTTTTATGATAACTTAGACAATTTTTTTAATCATCCTTTTGTCATATGATGGTCGTGATGGGCGTGATTCGAACCGAGTGCCTACTCAGAACAAAGAAGTGAAAACTGAACTAGAGCCGTTTAAAAAAATGTTACAATATTTACCCAAAATACGTTCAAAATGGTTTTGAGCTGGATTTGGACTAAATTCTAAGCTGCTACGAAATTAGCATCCTAGAGTTCTGATGCTGAAAGGGAGTATAAGAGGTGATTAAATGAGGATTAATAATTTTGTGGCTTCAGTGAAATCTTGAATATTGAACATAGCGTTCCAATCTAAAACTGATTCGAAAATAACTACATATTGGTTAGCTCTGTGCAAGTTTTTTATAAATATCTGAAATAATTGCTCATTAATACTATTACAGACTTCACAACATGTAGCTAACAAATTTTGGAATACGCATAAAAATCAAAGTCTAATCAATTCATTACGATAAAAATTAAATCAGTCTTCCATACAATGTGCCCTTCAGGAGTACATGAGCACCCTGCACAAGAATTAATCAAGCGCGTTACGGTGACAGCGCATATTATTTTCATCATGGCTTAGCCAAAGCGACACAACAACGCATGCCTCCCCCCCACCCACTCCCCATTCAGACTCCTTAACTTCTTCCCAGTCGCTTGTGTGGCACAGCTTAGCGAAATTGTTTGCGAAAACACAACACAATATTCAAGAATAATGATGACATTGTTGACTTCAGTATCCCGCGAGTGGTAGAGAACAGAATGAAAGAAAAAAAAAAGAATAACGGAGCGCCACATAACCGCAAGGACATCTTCCGCAGGATTAAACGCCCTAAACGCCCCGTTTAGACGTTGTCGGAGCGTGTATTTGAAACGCCCACCGAGCAAAGGGACAGACCGAGGGAGAGGAAGAGAGATGGAGAAAAAAAGAAGCAAACATGATTACCATATTGTATGATATGACGCTATAACCGAGCGTTCCACCAACGACCCCATCACCACTTCCTGATGGGCTGCTTGGCAAACAGACTTTTGAAAAATAAATTGAAATGAATTGAAGTTATGGCATTAGACAGTTTTCGAAATAATCATGTGACAGCACCGTAATTATATGCAATGAAGACATCGGCCGACAGCCCGATTTGCATATAGAATATGTGGAAAATGTAGCATACTTTACAGCGCCCAAATAAAAACTCAGTTTAATGTACGAGTACATACATATTATATTATGTGCTTATAAGTAACGCCAACTAAGAGCTAATCCTAAACTAAAACGAGACTTTGTCTGCATTTCTACTAGCTACCAGCTGCCAGCTACCAGCTTAACTCCTCGGGCAGACCGCCCGGATACTCGCCAGTGAGACAAGCGGTGCAGTAGCCGGACTTGATGGGATTCACATCAGCCTTGTTCATCTGTACGGCCTTGATCAGACCCTCAACGCTCAGATATGCCAAGCTATCAGCACCCACATGCTCGGCCAACTGATCGGCATTGAGTTTGTTGGCAATAAGCTCCTCTCTTGTGGGTATATTGATGCCCATATAGCAGGGATATTGAAGCGGCGGACTGGCAATACGTATATGTACTTCGGTGGCGCCCGCATCACGCAGCAATTTGATGATCGGTCCAATAGTATTGCCACGCACAATCGAATCATCGATGAGCACAATTCGCTTGCCCTCCACATTCTGGGCCAGAGCGCCAAACTTCTTGGCCACGCCCAACTTTCGCAGGCGATTCGAGGGTTGAATGAACGTGCGACCCACATAGCGATTCTTGCAGAGCACTTCTCCAAATGGTACGTCCGATTCGCGGGCATAGCCGTGAGCCGCCGCTGTACCGGACTCGGGCACTGAGCTGACAATGTCCGCCTCTATTGGGAACTCACGCGCCAACTGACGACCGCATTGGAGTCGCGCCGAGTAGACCATTTGACCCTCGAACATGGAGTCGCTGCGCGCAAAATAAACATACTCGAAGATGCAGAAGGCCATGCGCTTGTAGTCCGGACGCTCCACAATGTCCACGGTGCGATAGCCATTGCGTGAGAGCTCCACAATCTCGCCAGGCTCCACCTCACGCACATACCTGGCGCCAATGGACAGGAAACCGCAGCTTTCGCTCGAAACCACCCATCCTTCCGCACGAGTCTCCCCGATATTTGTGTGGCCCGCATCGACGGGCACAATCTTGCCCAGACAGAGCGGCCGATTGCCATAGGAATCACGCACGGCATAGATCTTGTCCTTGTGCATGACCACCAATGAGTAGGATAGCGGGGCCAGTGTCATGAAGTGGCGTATGCGTGCCGGCCAATTTGGACCATCATGCTCCGACACATCCTCTGGGGCACAGCACAGCGATTGGGCAATCAGCTCACTGTCACTATGTGTGGACAGTCCCACGCCCCGCTCCAGCACCTCGCGTCTCAGCGACTCGCAATTAACCAACTCACCGTTGTGGGCAATGGCCAGGGCCCCATGGGCTGTGTGCACCACAAAGGGCTGGCAATTGACCACCTCGGAGGCGGCGGCTGTGCTGTAGCGTGTGTGTCCAATGCCGAGGTTGCCTTTTAGCTTTTTTATGGCCTCATCGTTGAACAAATTGTTGATCATGCCCATGCCCTTGTGTACACTGAAATTCTTGGAGCTCTTCCCCTGACTCGTCACAATACCAGCTGATTCCTGACCGCGATGCTGCAGGGCCACCATGCCGAGGCAAATCATCTGCGCAATATCGAGCTGAAAATATTTAAATAATATAAGGGATCGGCATTAGTTGTTTTGTTTATGTTTAGATAACTTCTAGCTATCAACGCCAGTAACGCCGGCAATACACATTTTAAAATAATTTCGATGCCATGGCAACAGATCTGACAACGACCGATAATGCACTTAAGCGTCTGTATTTTCCTGTTATTTTCCATTTCATTACAAACATCAATAACAGAAGCAGAGGCAGAGGCAGAAACAGAAGCAATAACATCGGAACAAACTGATTAAATAAAACCACAGCGTGTGGTCGTGGTTGAGCTTAAATGCCATTGACGTCACTACCCAGGCATTGGCTGCCGTTCGAAGCGTATGCAACGGCAAGTTTACTTGACCTATTAACGATCGGCCACAAAAATGTTGAGCTAACTGGCAAGCGTTATTTTTAAATTAGATCGTATTACTATTGCCGAATCAATAAAAAGAAGAAGAGAATCCGAACTTTTTAAACAGGCAAATGGGAACAAATTGTTCATCCAAAATTTATTTGTAATTCAATAATAATAGCTAGTTGGCAGACTATTTCAGAAATATCTCAAATGAATGCATTAAAAGTTCAAATCTCTCTTCTATTAAATTGTATTACATGTTTAAATAAATAATACCTAAACTTTCAATTCAGAATTTGCAAATCGAAAGAATATTTATTTGCCTACAAAATATTTCAGGGCTCTTGCACTTTTAATGAAATTATATAAATAGTAAACTTTCGATTCAAATTAAAAAAAAAAAAATTTATTTTCCTACAAAATATTTGAAAGGTATTTGAAATGAAAATTGAATGACAATTATGTTTAACAATACTAAGCCATAAAATAATTTAATTCTTAATAAATCCTGATATACTCATCAACATTTGCACAACTGCAACTAAAAAAAAATTAATTGAATTAGGCTTTCTTCTTGGATATTCACTTAAGAATATATATTTAAGAAAACTTACATAATATGAAAACAGAAAATGAAATCAACTAAAAAAAAAATTATTTTTGTATGAGTTAAATGTTAAAAATATAAATTTGCACCCAAAATGCATTAAATTTATGTTTTCAATTTATTTTAAAAGAATGTTTTATTGTAGTTTAATAAAATATTTAATTGAGTTTAAAAGCAATAAAATTTGGAAACAATTTTCCTTAATAATAAACTTATGTTCATCCTATTTAGAATCAAATTTAAGTTCTTTGGCTTTATCACGAATATTAGCTTTTATAAGGATAAGGATAAGAAAGAGTATGGAACAATTGCTGTGAAAAGCTTCAAATCAATGGCTCTGTAGCATAATTTCCATATTTTTAAAACATGTAAGCCTTTTAAGCCACAGTGAAAACTGTTCATTTCTTAAGATCCTTTGCAACTCACCTGCGTTGGATAGTCCCCGCAGGCAATGGCTCCGAATACGCCGCACTCACAGGTCATGCCCGTGACATCCGGACCCTTTGCTTGAACAGATTTGTAAATCTTGTTGGGAAACACTTTCAATTTGTTGCCCTTGACAGCTGTTGCATTTTCAACAGTGCAGCAAATGTTGTCGGTTTCTAAAAATGATTCACAATACTTGTATAAATCCACACTCACACACATATGCGGCCATATCCTTACCATTATTTATTTTTGAGCAACTCTTTCCACAATTACTTTGCGCCATGTTTGCACTATTTTGTGTGTGTGTGTGTGTGTATTTTTGTTGCACTGCAGCCTTATATACTTAGTAATAGGTGTTATTGTAAAATTGAATATTCCTCAACAAATTGAAGCACTTTTTACACTTTCTTACACGAGTTCTCACGTCTGCATTGATTGAATGCCTGTTGAATTATGATTGTAAATTTTTACAAGCGCGCGTAATTAAAGCTGCGAACATTTCTCAGCCGCATCTAGTGCACATCTACATAGTACACAGTTACATACATATGCTACATATATATGTATATGCATATGTATATGGGTAATCCAAGCTGATAAGCCGACAATCTCTGCCTGCATTGAATGCGACGCCTACAAAAATCTCCCGAAGACCCTCAGTAAAAATTGCAATGCTAATGAATTGTGAAGCTGCTTATTTCAAGTTAAATTTGGAATTCGTGTACAAATAAATAAATAATAATAATCTTTTTTAAAGAAAACCTGTCACGTTTCTTCTAAAATTCTTTGCTGATCACGTGCTTCTTGTATGATCCCACCTGTTAGTGCCTCGTCATGCCAATTTTTGGCACAGTTTGCTGCGCTTTTGAATGGTTTCTGCAAATCATATTTATTCATATTTGTGGATTCGAATCGCGACTGCCTTATCAGCAGGCAGCACTTTATAAAAATAACTTAAACATGTGCTCACCTTAAGGGCATTGTTTAATCGGCAACGTGAGAGTCTGTCGATTGTTTGATAGCAAGCTATGTATACTATATACTATATATAATGGCAAAATGTTATTATTATTGTTTGTATTTAGGCTAAGATTAGGTCAGCATACAAATGGATTTGATTTCCAATTTCGTTGCTTAGATATTAATTAAGAATAGAGTACTTGAAAGAACCTTCACACAAATCGTCACAGTTTGTTGCTCTGATGGCTGCTGCATGCGTAAACGCATAATTGATTAAATAATGTTTTTTGTTTTCTGTTATGGCCACCACTTGGAAATTGTATTATCAGCATAAGAAAATGCGTTCATTGACGCATTTTAGAACCAATTTGTTGCTGCACGTAAACAATAACAGATTGTATGTTGTTTTCCTTTTGCTATATACATAAGAGTGTGTGTGTTACATTATCAGCAGGAACCACCAGCAAACAGTTCCCCAACGAGGTGCGGCGCTTGAAAATTATTTCTAGCAGTGGAAAAATATAATAGCCGTATTTGCCATCACATGATCTCGCAAAACAGCGTATAGAGTAAACAAAAACATGAAACCAATGCAGACATGAGCACGTCGAAGATTAGATGCTCTTTTTTGTTTATGCTTTGCTTGGAACTGATCGATTGATGAAAATTATAGTTGGTATTTTTAGTGTATTAAGTTATTAAAGAGTTTAGTTTTTATTTCAGGGTTCATTTTATAAACTCTTTCATTTATGAGTTGTTCGTCTGATACATGGCTCTTTCCACATAAAAATGATTATTAAAATTCTTTTTGTGATTTCGTTCCTGAATGATTGCCTCCATTTGTTCAATTATTCTTCGATTTTCTCATTCCTATTAAATACATTTTAAAATTAGAATGATTTTTTTATTTATTTTTAACTTTGACATTTTATTTCTAAATATAATTGATAAAATATAAAACTAAAATAAATTGTTCTTTTATTTTCTCATTCCTATTAAATACACTTTAAAATTGGAATGATTGATTTTTATTTCTAACTGTGACATTTTATTTTTTTTAAATAATTGATGAAATATAAAACTAAAATAAATTATTCTTTGATTTTCTCATTCGTATTAAATACATTTTAAAATTAGAATGATTTTTTTATTTATTTTTAACTTTGACATTTTATTTCTAAATATAATTGATGAAATATAAAACTAAAATAAATTATTCTTTGATTTTCTCATTCCTATTAAATACACTTTAAAATTGGAATGATTGATTTTTATTTCTAACTGTGACATTTTATTTTTTTTAAATAATTGATGAAATATAAAACTAAAATAAATTATTCTTTGATTTTCTCATTCGTATTAAATACATTTTAAAATTAGAATGATTTTTTTATTTATTTTTAACTTTGACATTTTATTTCTAAATATAATTGATGAAATATAAAACTAAAATAAATTATTCTTTGATTTTCTCATTCCTATTAAATACACTTTAAAATTGGAATGATTGATTTTTATTTCTAACTGTGACATTTTATTTTTTTTAAATAATTGATGAAATATAAAACTAAAATAAATTATTCTTTGATTTTCTCATTCCTATTAAATACATTTTTAGAATGATTTTTTTTATTTATTTTTAACTTTGACATTTTATTTCTAAATATAATTGATAAAATATAAAACTAAAATAAATTATTCTTTGATTTTCTCATTCCTATTAAATACACTTTAAAATTGGAACGAATGATTTTTATGTTTAACTGTGACATTTTATTTTTAAAAATAAAATAAATAATAAAAATAGTAAAATATGAAACTAAATAGAGACAGATGTTAGTGAATAAATTCACACGTGACTCGTTCAATTGAATTTATTCCGAACGACGCATTAGCTTATTAGCAGAGAAAGATTGACTTGTGACGATTTTTCAATTGCCATTTTGTCGATTTTTTAGCTATTTCTGAGCTAAAAAGATGTACAAATCAATGCGTTTATTTTTATCATAATTAAAGCAAGTTCCATCATTTCAAATTATAAATACCCCTAGGGTATCATAAAGGTAGCCAAACACTGGCTATTATTAGTATTATTTATAATCAACTTGTTGATCGATTTTATTTTTGTAACTTATTTGCTGTAAACAAAAAACATTTCGCAAATCCCCCAGCAACTGGCGCTGATCAATGGAGCGACACATGAACACCCTGCATCTGCATCTGATGCAATAGCGTCGACCGCATCCATAAGCGAGCGGAATTTTGCGGTCGCTAATCTGATAGGCACATGTGCCAGATAAGAGTTGAAAATGCCTATCGAAGCGGGCAGACAAAACACCGCGATCCAATATTGTATAAGTTTTCCGAGCAATTCAGTTGAGAGTGCAGAGCAGACAGATGAAAAGTTTGCGAATGCTCGTATAGCTGATCAGGGCTGTGTCTAGAGTCTAGACTAAATAGAAATTCAGTCTGTTTCTGAGTCTGAGAGTGCCTTAAGCGCGTGTTACCTTTTTTACTCGTACTATCAAACGTGAACTGGCAAACAACAAACAATAACAACAAATGTCAATAATAAATGGAGAACAACAATGCACAAAGTATAAACTACTGAGTACTCTGTAGTACTGAGCAAACAAACAACAACCAACAAACAAAGCAACAGAACTGCGATAATGAGATGCAGCATAATGTGGAAATGAAAATGACCAGAGGCAATAACGGCTAGCGGAGTCAACGAAGAAAAATGACCAAAAAGGCAAGTGGGCCGATGTGGATATGGTTGTGGATATGGATACCCCGACCAAATGTGTAACCACTTGAATTTCATTTGGCGAAAAGCTTTATCGAAAATTATGCGAATAATGGTGACTTTTGGCAAGAAGCGCCAGCAGCTAAAGCAGCGGGACTCCAACTAACTGCTTAGAAGTTGTTGTCTGATAAAAATCCAAAACACACACACTCACTCACACACTCACTCACACAACTAAACAAACAGATAATAAAAAGGAAAATGATACTTCTCGTTGGTTGGTGGCTGCTGGGCTGCTGGGCTGCTTTGGGTTGGGTTTGTTCAGTTTTTGGTTTTGGCTTGGGTTTGGGTTTCGGTTTCGGTTTGGTCGTCGCCTCGCGTAGATTTTTCGCATATGTGCCGCCCCCCCGCTGCCCTTGCCACTGCCACTGCCACTGCCACTACCACTAGCATTGCCGTTGCCTTTACGATGTGCAAGCCGCGTCCATGTCCAGTCTCGCTGCCCGACTGACTGCCTCATGCATAATTCAGCAGAATTCTGAATGATTATTCTTTATGGGACTGTTTATTTCTTTTGACCATTTATTTCAAGTTGGTGCTTCTGCTTCTGCTTGTGCTCCTCTTCTTTCCTTTCTTCTTTTTTTTTTGCTTCTTTCATTATTTTTATACAGTTTCCAGTTGCTTGCGCTTGAAATGATTTTGACCAACGGTGACGCAAAAATCATCAAATGGCCCAGCGGTGGTGGCGCCTGTAAACACACACACACACACATACACATGTACACACCCAATCGGACAACCACTTGGCACTGTGTGTGTGTGTTTGTCTATTGAACCAAAAACTCCAGCTCCTCCCAGCTATAGTCCATAAAACGCGGCATTGTAACCAACCACACATGACGAGCCCCAGACCCGGTTTCTATCCCCGTCCCCGTCCCCGTCCATCGAAGGTACAACCCCAAAAATCCCCGCAAGTCCTTCGCACAAGCCCACACATTGAAAGTAGCTGCGGGCTGCGCTTTCAACGCATCATTTGATTTTATTTTATGCGGTCAAAGTGGCCAAAAAATAAATTTTATTTGTTTTTGTCCGCAATTGAATAAAATGCTCTTTTAATGTTACCCGAACGAACAGTTGGGCAACCATTTTTATTTCTGCAAAAGAGTATTGCAAATCCTGCCAATATGCCAATGGTTTCCCAAATTTTAGAGAGCAGTTAAAAACACTAACTGGTAGTTTTGATAGGAGTTTTGTGTTTAAATAGCTTCATTTTCAACGGGTTAAGATAAACTTGTTATTGCATAATAAAATTCGACAATAGAATGAATGTATTTTAAACATCTAAGTACACTAAAAGAAACGCTCTCACACTTTGCCAGCCCCGATAGTTTTTTAAAAAGGAAATATGCTTCTCCCTTTCCTAGTTTATTATTCACGACCAGACCATCAGTTATTGGCAATGTAAAAGCTGTGGACACAATTTTCATTAATTTCAAATGAACAAGCTTCAACAGTAATCTTAAATTTGTTTACAAGCATTTTTCTTTACCATCTTTAATTGTTCCAATTATAATTTAATTCGCAAAATCACAAGGAAATTTTTGTTAGAATGCATACAAGTTTTACATTTAATGTTCATTTAATTCCAAAAAGATATTTGTAAGGCAGGTCTATCATTTTTTCTGCTCTTAAAACTTGGCACGTATATTC